CTAGCTACCTGGTAGTGCACGTACACACAACTTCAATCCACTTACACTGCATGCATTCCAACGCTAGCTACATGCCACCTCTTACACTGCATGCATTCTGCCTTTTAACGCGCACACATGCCTAGCTACCTACGGGTCATGCATGACGCATGCATCAACCTAATTAGCTACCTAAGAGCATCTACATCCATCCGGCCACCTCGAACCCCTCTTACACGCACGCCCCGCCGGACGGACCGGTCAGTGGCCGGTCAAGAAAAAAGCCGATCCAGACAGGCTATTCAGATCGGCCCTATATGCTCGCCACCCCCCCTCATATCTAGCCATAGGCCAAATCGACGAAAAAGAAAGGTCATCTTAGTTCATGAAGCATGGATAAATGTTAACGAACGAGTCAATTGCATTGAATAAAGTCCATCTCTGTCGTATCAGACTGGCCGTTGGGACCCATGCGGTAACACTCCGAAACCCATCGGTCCGGCGGGTGTCTCCTCTGATTTTCCATGGCGCACCACCCAAGGGCCCTCGTCCGGCTATTCAAGCCGGATGCCGGTACCCAAACCATACCCCGTCCCCGTTTCCCTCCTCTCCCATCCGCCGCCGCCACTTCCCAATTAACCCCACTCGCCATTTGCCGCTAGTCACGCCCTCGCGCCGGATCATGACGTATGTGATGCTCACGTCAGAGCGGTGGATTGAGCTCCTTGAGGAGATCCGGGCTAGGTGTGAAGCCTGGATCACAGTTGGCCTACCTTCGTACTTGCCGGAGACGAAGGAGGAGGAGGTGGGGGCTCGGGCCCCTTGAGAAGATTTGTGTTAGCCGTGAAGCCCAGATCACAGACGGCCTACCTCCGTACTTGCCGGAGACGAAGGAGGAGGAGGTGGTGGATCAAGCTCCTTGAGCAGATCCAGGCTAGATGTGAAGCCCGGATCGCAACGGGCCTACCTACGGACTTGCCAGAGACAAAGGAAGAGGAGCACAAGATAGGGTCATGGCGGATGCGGAGCTAGAGGAGGAGGAGGCAGACAATGTGGATCTGGCGCCTCCGGTTGCGGGCTTCGCCATACCTGAGGCGTTGGCCGAGTTCGAGGTGGCCCAAGCGAAGGTGGCGGCGCAACATCAGGCCATCCTCGACTCCATCCAGTTAGAGGCGAAGGTGGAGGCCAACCACGACTTCCTCCGTCAGCGCGACACGGAGCTCAACGAGATATTCGCCGAGATAGAGCTCGACAAGATCTTTGCCAAGATAAAGTCCAATGAGGAGCCGAAGGTGCGGCGGGCAGCCATCTACCACGAGGCAAGGTCGTCCGACACTGCCGGCGCGGAGGTCGTTGACATCTCCGACGATGAGTGGTGTAGGCTAACTTAGGTTATCTACGCAGTACATAATTTTTTTTGCATGCTTTGTATGGATTTGAGATATCAATTATGAGGTGTTGGATGCGGCCATGAAAATTTAAGGGGTGACCAGTCAGTGTCTATGGATGAACGTATAGGGGATCGGATTTGTCAAGTCCGGTTGTGGATGATATAATTTCCTACTCCGGTAATTAGTCAAGCATCACTCGCTAGCTCCATTTATCCGTCGAACTTCCACGGCTAGACGTGCCCGCGCGGCAATTCTAGATAAAAAAATATTTTCTCGGGTCGATTGTCTTCTCCTCTCCCATCGTCGCCGCGCGCAGCAGCTGGCCTCAACGACGCCGACCGATGATGACATGAAGGGCGAGATTATCGTCACCACGAGTTTAGGCACACAGTGTGGTCGTTGCCACGACATACAACCTAGAGCTCTCCTCAGGGGATTTATTTTGCCCCATTCGTTAGTGCACGAAACAAGCCACTGAGGGGGACTAGGGCACAAATACACAAATGATTAGAGAAATATGACCGCGGTTTAAAAGATGCCTCATTAACAAAACTATCTTCCTTGACTCTCCAACACGACCGGCCACTGCAACTAAGGGCGTTAGGACTGGTGATGAAGAAGACGAAACGACTTCCTAGCGATTGGCCGCTACAACGGGCGATCTAGTCTATCACAACTAATCAGCCGACAAGTCTTTCCATCAAGGCCCACCGGGTGAGACTTCCAGCGCACACACATGCAAAGGCTAGGCAAGGCAAGAGGGAGGCGGCCCCACCCAAATCAACACTAATCACCGCCCCCCTGATTTTTAGGGGGGCCGCCTCTAATTAACCATCCCTAATTAATCCACGTAAGTTAAGCCACTTTTCAAATTGAAGACTGTCGGAAAACGAGCGTTGGAACGCTCGCGCGCCAGATAGCCATGCCTGAAGAAGAATGGCACATGAAATCATGAGGCAAGGAGGGTGGCTCACATAACTTCTATAGACCTACGCAAGCTTCTGCAACTCGTGGGTGAAGATGGCGACGTGCGAGACTCCCTGATGCACTGCAACACAAGGTGGCTGCCCTTTTTGGGCTTGCACGGCTTGAGGTAGATGATGGAAGGCATGATGTCGACGTCGTCGTTCTAGGTCAACATGTAGTCAGGCTTAGTAGAGCCACCTTGTTGAACCCGACAGCCTTCTCTCGTGCTCATGGTGTACTTCTTCCCTCCACACATGTTCCCTGTCCTAGGAACCAATCCAAGGAGGAGGCAATGGTGGCCGAGGCCATTACCCTGTCAAAAGAAATAGTGGTTGCTTGCGGTTAAAAGAAACCCGTTCAACATTTTTAGTTTCGTGCTATATATTTTTATATTGAATCTGGTTTCTGTAATCTCTACTATTAAAGGAGGATCGAACGTTGTGATGGTTCGACCTCCTCTCGATGGTTCGACCTCGATCCCGCACCGAGGAAATCGCTAGGAAAACAATCCACCCGCACGCCTTGTTCGCTAGCTACTCCTCCATCTCGTGCGATACACGCGGAAAAAACCCAGAGAACAAACGAACCGGTTCAATGAACCTCTACCCCACGATCCGGTAACCCGCACAACATGGCATGCGAAAAGCAACGACCAGGCACACACGTCTCACGCCCCTATCTGCTAGCAACCTCCTCGCTCCTCCCCATCCCATCTCCCTGCTGAAAAAATCGCCACGCCATCCACGCCGCTCACGATCCCCGCTGCGGCGTCTGCGTCGATGGGCTCCCCTCGGTCCTCCTCCACCAAGCACCCGCCCTCCCATGGTCGTGGTCCATCCTCTACCAAGCTCTTGATTGGGAGTCCCACGAGGTTGGGAGTCCCTTGAGGCCTTACCACGACCATGGAATCCCTTGCCCTCGCCTGCGTCGATGGACCCGCCCGTGACCGGACCGAGAGCATGTTATCTAGCTGCGCCTCGCGATCCCCCCACTGCGGCGCCCTGCCCCGTGCTGACGCCGCGGGCGCGGGCGGCTCAGCCCGCCGGGAAGGCGGGCTTTCCCCCCGCCGCGCGGACCGGCGCGCTCAGGTGAAGCTGCTCGCCGGGTTACCCCGGCGCCCGCCTTTCGTCTACCCACCGTGTCGTCGGGTGATCTCTGTGTGCGCCGTTTATGCAGGGCCAGCAGGGGATGCGCCACTCTGCCGCTGGTCCCGCCGTGCCGGAGCCGGTGGAGCGCCGTCGTGTGCAACGCGTCGGTGTACATCATCCCGCTCATGAAGCAGTGTGTCTCCGTCGCGGCCGCGGCGTGAGTGCCTCCCCCATCTCATCGTCGATACCCAAAGGTACCTTTTCCGATGTGATTTGCTCATGATACAGAAACGCATAATCCTTTCGGGCTCCGAATATGTTCGTGCTTTTGCCTGCGAGGGCTGTCAATTGCGCATCTGCTGGTGTCAAATTGTAAGATGCACGATCCTGTCATACATTCTGTAACCTGTCGATGGTTACTCAGAGGGCATCATGCAACAACTGTTAGATGGAGTTGGTTTCTTGATCAGTAACCACGAGCTGATATTTTCACAGCAAGTAAAAGAATTAACGCATCATGTTCATATCTTTAGGAGGTAGGAGCAACATTAACACACTTCACAAGAACTAGATAGACAGTGTACTTGTAGTACCATATGCTGCGATAACGAATACTGCCAGATATTCAGTCTGTTTACACATTAACATGACACCTTGTGTTCAGTGGCGTCACTCTTTATCACAGGAAACTGCAATGCATGGTTTTTGTATTAAAAATTTGAATGTCGTATAATTCGAATGCAGAAATTTACTCAAGGTATAAATTCAAGTCATGTTAACATCATCAGTCTGTTAAACATAACTTACAGAATGGTACTCTTTTCGTATCATGATGCTCAGGTTCCGTCCACTTGGTGACTTGCTTAGCTTGCCGCGGAACCGTAGTGTATCTACTTTATGCTTCTGATCCATCATAAGTTATTAGCGCATTCATGTTACGACACTAACTTGTCAACACCAAGGTGGTAATCTTGCTTCAGATCTTGGATGAGTTACTGGGGCTGTTCAGGCCATGACTCCAAATTGCAATTGCTATCTTGAGGACGGGCAATCTTGTGTAACTGAAAGTGATAATTCTTCAAAAACTCGGCTCTTGCTATTCTCCATGTAGTTTATTTCATTCTGCAACATACTCCCTCCGTTCCTAAATATAAGTCTTTTGAGAGATTTCAAATGGACTACAACATACGGATGTATATAGACATATTTTAGAGTGTAGATTTACTCATTTTGTTCCATATGTAGTCACTTATTGGAATCTCTTAAATGACTTATATTTAGGAACGGCGGGGGTATTTGGTTTTGTCATCAAATGATTGGACTATTTTTTGAGCATTTATTTATTACTCTTTTCCCTCCTGCAGAGTGCTCTTGCTTGCTAAAGGCACAGGCATACACAAATCCTTCATCGTGCCATTGTTTGTTCTGCAAGCACCTAGCACTGTAATCTCATGGATCAAGTAAGGTTCTGCCATTTGGCCCAAAAGAATCATTACCTTTTCCTCTTTTCTTGCTATAGCTACTGGATGTTTATTCTTTTTGAGACAAGAACACTTACTTTTGGCGTACTTATCCTATGGTGTCTATTCCTAATTTTAGGAGTGAATATGGGATGTGGACTGCTTTTCTTGCGCTTGCAGTGCGTTTGTTCTTACCCTTTCCAGGTAGAGTGACAACGAAGATCCATACGTCCTGCTTAAAATTAAGTACAATATTTGATAATACCTGAAACAGATATATGTTACTTATGCACATGTGTCTTGTCTGTTTAAGGTGACCTAGAGCTTCCGCAGTCAACAATGCTGGCGGTCAGCGTTGCTCCTTACCAGGTGATGAATGTGAGGTATGTAACATGCTCGCCATTCCGGAAGACATTAGCTATACTGCTGCATATGTCTTTGATAATTCATCCGCTTGGTCAGTTGTCCACTAAATGTGAAGTGGCTAAAAAGAAAGGAAATTAACATGTAGAAGAAGTTGAAGAACTGTTAAGCAGAGAATTCATCGCCTAGCTTAACCAGTGCAACGTGAATAAGGATTAAGAGGATCTAGCTTAATCCATGTGTATGGTAGCAGATCATATACTTTGCTTTTTTCAATTTTCTAAATTACAGTTTCACCCCTAGCCTCATTTGCGGGTAAAATGTTATAGTTTGCGCAAGCAGCAGATCTAGATAATCTTTTGTAGGGCGTGAGTTACTGCATAGACATCTAATAAAAAGAGGCATCTTCTTTCGGCTCGATACAGAATATATCAGTGCTATTGGGTGCTCTTTGGTACTACAATTGCCTCACCCACTCTACAAAAACTTGACTTGAGTGTATATGGTCTTTTGTTCTTCACTATTACTTTATTAAGGCTGCAAATTTGTGATATGTACAGATGAAAACACATACTGCAACATAATTGATTCATCTGACGATTCAGTGTTCCCTGTTCTTTTTGTGTGAACTCCAGCCAGAAATATTTAGCCGGGGTATTTTTTGCCACTTATTGTCTGTTACGTAGAGTTGGTGTTTCTAGACACAAAATATTTTGTTTACTGGTTTATACCATGGGTCAGTTCAATCTCAGGTTAAATTAGTCAGTGTTGATCAATAATGAAATGTAGCCATTGGTTGATTGATCATTGATGGTACAGATGTGCAAAGCAACAATTATATACCCCACTGTGTTGGACCCAAATACCTTCCGGAAAGAAGTTCTGAAGGGTGGGATACTAGACAACCATGTAATTTCAGCTATATCTTTATTATATAAAATAGGTGGAATTTTAGGTATGTTCTGCTATCCCCCCCCCCTCTCTCTAATTTGGTGCTATTGGTTTGTTAAGGTACCTATTTATTTTGAGTTTTTTCTGTGCCAAACACAAAGGTTGAATGTATGGCTTAGCACTAACTTCATGTGGGTTTTTCTGCTCAAGTTATTTCAGTTATATTCCTCAGTTAATACTTCGCAGGATCTTGAGGAGTTCTTTTGTGTTGTATTGCTTTGAAGGTGAATCTCATTCCTCGGATTTTGCTCTGTTGTCGTAGCACTTTCAGATTTGAAGTTATGTTTCTCAAGTAAGAAGTAGTATCTTTGTGCTTTTAGCAATGAGAATATTTGAGGAACTACCTATTACAACATCATTTTCTAGGAAAATTAGATCATAACAAGAGACGATGAATCATTTATTTTCTTTGTTGTGGGTAGGGTCAAATTTTGAATTACCAAGCTTTTGTATGATTTTGATTGACCAGGCTTGCTTGCTGCTTGCTTGTCAATCAAGCTATGTTGGTCGATTTTAGAGACAAATTTGTCTTCGAATAAGACTATCTAGAAGCAGCAAGGCAAAGACATCCATTGCATTACTAACTGGGATAATTTTGACTTGTTAGCTACACCCTTTGGATGGTCCTAATTGTAGAAAGTTATTATAGACAATCAACCCTTCAAATTTCACCATCATGAAAGAATCTAAATATAGTATGTTTTCTTCTCTTACTTTTTTATTATACTCTTCTACTCTTATAATTCATCAAATGCTAACTATTACCTTCACTTTAATGCTCGGAACCCCTGGTTGATAATTTATAGTGGGTCAGTTCTGTGTTGATTTCTCTCATGATGATTGATGCTTTGTTACATAGATAGAAAAAAAATTGAGAAATCAGATGGAGAAGGAATGGCACAACCGTGAAAAATAAGTCAGATGCTTGTTGAAAGATATATACTGTGAGTTTCATATATTTTGGTTATATAAGGATTCAATTTTTTAAGGAGGCCGGAGTGGAGAAGTAGATGTGACATAGAGAAACATGGCTATGCAGGGGAAGCGGGAAATCACACTTTGACAAATGTTTCTATAGTCATGTGTTATTCTGTAGCCACTGAGCAAATGCATCGACATACATGTGTCAGAGACGCTGTATGCTCTTTGATTGTTGATAATTTTTTGTTTCTCGTGGACCTTGTTTGACTTTTGGATGTGGTGTGAATTCTATGGGCTAATATGTCAAGCTTTCGATGGTTCACTATGTACGCTTGTTTGGTGATTCAATATTTGTCAGTGTGGTAATAAGCCACATACGACACAAATTCTTCTATTTTGCCGAACACATCCTCTTGAAGTACAAGATATTTTTATAACCATGTCTACAACTCATGATCTCTATGCCTAAATTTATTGTTTGGTGCCATTGTGACCAATATCCCTTAAAACATGGATGTTCCCGCCTTTCGCTCTGGTCGACGCGACCGCTCGCGCTGATTTTGAACGAAAATTCAATCCAAGGAGCGACCGCTCGCGCTGATTTTGAACGAAAATTCAATCCAAGGAGCGGGAAGGGACTGCTTTGGCCCACAAAAGAAAAAAGAAGAAAAGAAAACGCAACCAAACCACAGCCAGGCCGCGCGGCTTCTCTCTCTGTCTTGCTCCTCTCTCGATCCCCTCCAGATCCAACCGCCACCGCCGACCTCCGTCCTCTCCCCCAACCCCAGCTCCAACTCCGGCCTCCACTCCACCGCCGGCGATCCATCCGTTCCCCTCCTCTCGCTCGCCGTAGATCCGCTCGAGCAGCGCAGCCCACGGTCAGATCAGATCCTCGCGCCCGGAACCCTAGCCCTCTGGCCATGGCGACCGGCCGCAGCACAGGTATGAATCCCTCCTCCTCTTCTCCTCTTCTTCCTCTTCTCTCTCTCTCCCTATCTCTCTCTCTCTCCCTATCTCTCTCTGACCCACATCTCGCCACGTCTCTTCTCTATAGGTTGGAGGTGCCACCATGGAGTCCTCTGCCGGGGACGCCGCCCAAGTGCTCGTCAAGGCCCGCTGCTCCTTCTTCCTCCTTTTCCTCAAATTCAAGGGCAATCAGCAGCACACGCCATCCTCAAGGTCCGCCCCTCTCTCTCGATTTCCTCTTCCTGGCCTGGCCTGACCTGACCTGATGCATGGGATTTCCTTTCCATGGCAGGCGCACGGTTCTTCTCTTCTCTGATGGATGGATGGGTTGGTCGTGGAGGAGGAGAACGACCAGGAGAATAGGGATCCCGTCTCTTCTTTTCTCTTCATCAATGTCGGCCGCTCAGGAACAACGACCCAGCCACCCCTCAAGGAAAGGTAAAGGCACCCTCTTCATCCCCAAAGACAAGAAAGATTCAAGGATGGCCTCCATATTACAAGGATGCCCATGGTTTTGGATCTCACATTATGTCCTTGTTTAAGACCGGCCAGCCATAATGGGTGCACCGCCTTCTCCAGCTCTATATGCTTAATTATCTTGCTTCACACCAACATTTCATTTCTTAACGAGGCAGGCTTTCTATATGAGATGGCCTGCAACAAACGCTCCTCTGCGTAAGTGTGTTTGCCAAACTGCGGTCTGCCGGTGACCTCTTCTGGCCAGCATCACACTTCCGTTTCTTGATGAATGGGTTTTATTTAAATCGTAGGCATGCAGAGAGTTAGAGCCAATCCAGATTTGAGAAACAACAGCTACAGATGTCGACTGTCATGGCTGTAGCTCCCAACTTGTCTCCTTCCTCTGTTGCCACCCTGGTCGGTCTGTCCAATAATTGGTGTTGCTTTCTATATGTAACAATAAAGCATGGACCGGTACATGCCAAAATGCGCTTTGGTCGCCGGGCTCCAGGGACCTCAGTTCCACTTGAGTTACGATGCTTTCTGTTTCTTGAATTAATTCCAAGTTATACACACAGATAGTTAGAGTCCAACTGAGATTTGAGAAGCAACTGTACAAGCTCAAATGTTTGTTCGTCGTCAGCAAACGTATTGCTATATAGTAGCTAATTTACAAGTATCATATTACCAAAGTTCTCTGTCCTATAATATAAGACCGTTTTTGACACTAGTGTAGTGTCAAAAAGGCTCTTATATTTTCGGATGGAGGGAGTAACTTTTTTATGGCATACTTCGATGCCAATTTTCATATGTTATATTGATCCGTATGAGTAGTATCTAGTCAAACATCCAAAAGGTTTGCTGGAATGGATAAAAAATAAACCCTTTTTTTAAGTTCTGAACTACATATATGTGTGTGTGTGTGTGTGTGTTGTCCTGTTTATTATCCGTGCGGCAGACCATCTATAAGGGAAGGGGGCTGTTTTGCTAGTTTCCATTAATATTTGTTGGTTTGCTGCTTTCTGTTAACTGAAGATGTGCTTTCTTTTTCATGTGTGGGTGGCAGGCAGGAGTGCAAACCCTTGGAGTTCATGTAGAGTATTCTGCCCTCATGGGTCACAGAGGCCCTCCTTCCTCCGCCCCATCAGAACCAGGCTGCCTGTTGTATGTACAGCAGGTGAGCCCTCTCTGTCAATCCAAACTGTGTTCCTAGTGTGTTTGCTTTGAAGAACAGACTGCATCTTGTGGATAAGTTCTCTGGAAAGGTTCCTTTTATTTGACAGCCTCTGGAAGACTTATAGTGTTGTGGGTGGTCCTATTGCAGCCCAATCTACCAATGTATATTCCTTTTTATCTAGAAAGACTAGGCATGTTTTTTCCTTGTGACAATAAAAATAAGTACGAGTAGGTTGCCACAGTGAGCTCGTCTCCTTCCTCTGCTCTCCGCCTCTTGTTGCTCTGATAGATTGTCATAATTTGGTTAGCAAGGTGCTGTGGGTCGATGGATTCTATGGTTCCTGTGATGTGGTGGGGTTCATGTTAAGTTCGCCATGATGGACTTCATCACTGAAAGAATTGTTCCATTTCTCAACAAAATAAAAACATCAGTTAATAACACTCTCTTGCAATTTATTCAGATAATCGAAAAGCATGAGCTGCTTAAATAGTGATGCAGTTTGGTTTCTTTGAGATTGAATGGTCTAGTACGTATCTTCTATGGGTAAACACCTGATATCCATGTATGCTCACACTGTAAACAATTGTTGATATGTACGTCGCCTGCCTCCTGTTTACTATTACCTCCGTCCGGAATCAGTTGTTGTTGAAATGGATATATCTAGACG